GATGAAGCAGAGAGATCTGTGTTCAAGGTGATATGAAGTCAAAGAAATTGTAAGGACACGGAGCTGAAAGACTTGAGTTCAGTGCTGAGCTCTGGAATTGAAACAGGTGCCCTAATTTCTCTGTGAGCCAGGCCCATCACCCACAGTTCTGACTTCTACCTGTGGGGCATGAGGAAGCTTAAATGAGGTCATGTTCCTGAGACAACCTGCATGTTACAGGTTACCCCACTCTGGTGGTTGGATTGAATATGGTTGTGGTGAAGGAAAAGGGAGAATTCAAGTTAAGAAACACTAAAATGGTACAGTAAAAGGCAAAGTTTTGCCGAGAAATAGACTCACTTATCTGGATAGAGGGTGGATTTTCTCAACCAGCATGTCTTTGAAGTTAGAACTTCTATGTGTGAACAGCCCAGTTTAATGGAGTTCAGAGTTGCAGACTAAATTGAAACTATAGAGTGGAATTGGTCTCTTTTATTTTAAATTTCTTAAATTGGGTTTTTGAACACATAGCAAGCAGGAAGCTTGAGTGTAGGGCTACATATTTCATACCAGAGTATGCACATATTGATCTCCCGATTTTTTTTCTAAAGATGCCTCACCCTCCAAACAGAGATCCCTATGACCCAAATCCTGCTCTGGCTAACACTTTACCCTGTTCCTTCACAAAAAATAAAAAATAAATTTTAAAAATGTCACATGATCATTATGTTTTCTTCCTGGTTTTCCAGCCATCTACGTCATGCCTTAGCCCCTCACAAACCCTCTCCTCCGAACACTTCCCAAGATCACATTTTGCAGTTTAAAGCTTTTAACATTTATGTCTTCAAATTAGGAAACATGCTTTTCTTGATGTGAACAAAAACTTTCCAACACAACTCATTATACAACCAGGTCTGCTTTTGTGAAAGGAGAAATAATTAATTAAGATCATATTTCTAAGGAAACAGCAAGTCAAAATTGACTTGCATCTGATGCTATTTTAATTTGCTGGGGTTATTACCAACCCTGACCTGAAACCTTCCTGCTTATTCTTAAAGCCTGTTTTATTCTTTTCAGATAAATGAAACAAAGGAAAAGCTAATTTGCCTATGAAAATAATCTAGTCCTCAATTATTTCATCAAATAGAAGTGAAACCGCTTGGGCAGGTAGAACAAAAACACAGCAAACAATTCTCCTTGCAAAATTGCAATATGCATAATGCCAGTATGTTTTCTTCACATGCATATGGTTGTTCCCTTTCGGTTAAATTTGATGTTTTTAAGTTTAAAAATATATGTATGATATTGCTGGCATGGTGCCCTGCATTGCAGGGACGGGTGCTGCCTCCAGCCAGCTTCAGGGGAGAGCACACCTTAATGAGAACGTGAGAACTCTAATTCAGTGTGAATGAATGAATGAATGAATGCAACTTAATTTGTGTTGCTTCTTTTAGCATTCCCAGCTATAAGTTGAGAGAGAGAGAGAGAGAGAGAGAGAGAGAGAGAGAGAGAGAGAGAGAGAAAAGAGTAGTGTAAAGGAAAAGTCAATGCCTTTTCAGGGGAACCTGGCAGAGAGGGAGGGCGAGTGTGACAGTGACAACTGACCAGTCCATATCTTGTTGGCAGTGAGCTTGGAGCTCTCTGACAAACAGCCATTAATGTAATAATAATAATAATAATAATACGCACACTGCATTGAAGATGTGCGTGTGAAACACCCCTGTCCTCTTTACCTGTGCATGAAAGGGGCTGTGGTGGCAGCTGCTGCTGCAGGGGATAAGCCCCGAGGATTCAGGGGGAGGGGAGCATAGAAACCACCTCCAGTCTGGCAATAGGGACCAGGGTGGAATGACAGCTTGTAAAATAAGCCTCCATCAGTCTCCCAGGAGACAGCCAGCTTCAACTTGGGTGTTCCGGGCTTGTTAGCCTCCATCATAATTGGTCTCTCCTCCCATCCCACGTTGTTGGTTTTCTGTGTGTGGCTTTTGGTGTGAGCGTGTTAGGTCATCAGCAAATACAATGGCAGGAGGGGGTGGGGGTGGGGTACACACATGATTGTTTTAAAGAAGAAAGGAGAAAAAGGATAAGAGAGTGGGCAGGAAGGCTGTGAAGAGAATGGGGAAGATGCCCCAGGATTTAGGCTTCCGTGGCAACCCCCGAAGCGCTCAGAGGTAGGGCACTCCCTGGGAGCTTTGTCAGAGGGAGCAGGAGCTGGGACCCCGCAGAGCCTCCCTGAGGACCTGCAACTACCCCATGGAATTATGGACTCCGTGCGATTTTTGTTTGCGCATCTCTGGAGGTGCCTGTAACTTCCTCTCCATATCCGGAGCATCTCATCAAAAATAAATTTAAAAAAAAATCCCACTCACTGTGACATGCCCTAGAAAGTGTCACCAAAGGCCCAGGCACCAGGGCCGGCCAAGCACACAGGCGAGTTTCAGGCAGCCTCTCTCCATTCGATTCTAAAACCCGTTCCCCAACTGCCCCACAATCTTTGGATCCATCTCCAATATCTTCGTGTCTCCTCTGCTCAGAGAAAAGCCAGTCCCTGGGGGTAGAGGCTATGAGACACTGTGATTTGAAGTCTGTTGTAAAACGGGGACCAGACATGCCTTTGCAGAAAGCAGAGCTGTGGACCCTGCACATTGTTTGGGCTCACAATGGGGCATAGAGGGTTCTGAGACCCTCCGATATTTATCGACTGGAAAAAGAGCACTTTGATGGGAAAGAAGAAGCAGAACTGTAATCACATGGAGCTGCAAGCTTTTGGGAAGTTTTTTTTTTTTTTTTTTTTTTTTTTTTTTAATTTCACTCCACAAATCCTTGGCTGCCCTGGGTTGCCATGGTGCTAGTGTCTTCAGCTTCTTTCACCCAGCAAAGACATTTCAAAATATTGTTCTGCTACAGCAGGGACAACAGGTTGAGATTGGGGGCTCTAACGTGGGTGTTGGGGGGGGGGTCTTCTGTGTGGCAAGACTCGGTGCCTACAAGTCTGTGGGCAATAGCCAGCACGGACTATTTTGCAATGCCAGGTCCAAGGATGGGTGAGGTTTCTGCGAAGCTTCCCTTTCCTACATCCCCTCCTGCTGCTTTCCGGGACAGTCCCAACCTACACATTCCAGAAGATATTATCCAGGCATCTAGGAGGCACTATCCCAAACAAAACCATTACCTCAGGTGTCTTCAGGTACCGTCTTGAGCAAACAGCCCTACCCCTGCCCTAATAAACCCCATCTCTCTCTTCCCTTCTCCCCATCTCCACATTAAAAGCCCCTCCCCCCCCAAATGAGGACCGGCTTTTATTTTTAAAGCCGGGAAAAGGCAATAGGCGGGTCACAGAGATGAAGCATTTAAATCTTCCCTTTGGAAGATGACATCTTTTCAGCGAGGGGCTTTCTTTCCAAACTCGCCCCAAGGAAAGAAGGGTCGTGGCTGCTCCCACCTGGCTCTCCCAGGCCCGCACATTTCACTGGGTGCCGTTAAGCTAGGTAGGTGACCTGGCGCCATCCAAGGACCTGGGAAGGCCACGGAGCACAGGCGGCTAATGACAAGTAATTGACGAATTCGAGGCCCCGCATTACCAGCCGAATGGGGAGGCATCAATTATTTAAAAACCATTAGCCTGGCCCTGTGTCCTGCAGACTTTTCCCATTGCTCAGCGCAGATAACCAGCCACGCGAGCCAGACCGGATTCGGAGGGCAGCGGGGCGAGCAACTCAGCTGGACAAAGGGAGGGAGGGGGCGCCCAAGATTGCCACCCAAGACAGGACCCGCATCACTGACGCTGTCCATGACCGGGATCGATTTCTGCCCGTTTGCCTTCCAGATCTGGGGATTCTGGCACAGAGCAGGAGGGCTTCCCAATTGGGGTGGAGGACAATGTCTGGGCTGATGCCTAGCGCTTCTCGCTGGCGAGGTGTCCAGAGTACGCGCGCCTGCCTGGGCCTCTTATAAGGCCCGATACGTTGCTTTTAAAAATAAATCTCCCGAGGGGATACCCCGTGAGACCCCAGAGGAAGGACACCTTTTTCTGTTCCCTGGAAACGGAGGGTTTCAACTGGCAGCATTTGAACGAACTCCTGGTTTCCTGAGAATTCCGATCCCAGGGAAGGGGGGTGAGGATTGCCATAATAATGCGATCAATTCTGTTTGATCCTTAAAACTCGCTTCCCTAGGCACCGCAGCGCGCCCCTGCCCAGCCCTGTACGGGGACAGTGGGGTGGCCAATGGCCCCGCCGTGAGTTTCTGCCTTTTCTTCCAGGACCGGACTCGCAAAGCTCCAGGTTCCCAGGCGCTCGCCGCGCGCCTGTGCGTAAAGGCCGCTGCGGCTCCAGATCTCGGAACAAAAAGGTCCGGCTGCTGGCAGAGAAGTCGCCCCTCCCCTTCTGCCTCTGGGTTTTGACCCCAGCCACAGCCCAGGCCCGGGGCTTCTGGGGAGACGCCCGGGCTGGATTCGAACTCTGGCGCGCTGGGGAGGGTGTCGCTGCCCTCCAGCCTCCGTCGCTACTCTCCAGCCCCTGTCTCCGCCACCACCTCACTACCAGGACGCCCCTTTCCTCTGCCCCCCACTCCGACTCTGAGGCCAAGGTGCTACCCCGCCCTCACCTTCCCACTGTCCTTGGGAAACAGACCCCAGGGCGCGGCGGGCACCGGCCTTGGCTTCCCAGAGCCTGGGGCCACACTGACCTGAGCTCAGAGCCCCGATGTAGTCCGAGTTTGCAACCCTTCCACTCCTCATCCTCCTGCACCGTGCATTCTTAGAAAAACCCGAAAAAAACACACACCCCCTCCCCCAAGGCCACCTTACAAACTCCTGGGTCTACGGATTTAGTTTCCCACTACCTTCCCCTTCCATCCTCACCCTCCTTCCCTGGGACCGGAGGTCTCAGAAGGGATGAGTACTAAGGGGTGGGGGGATACGGGGGAGACACGCCGCTAGGAGTGGGGTGTGTGTGTGTGGGGGGGGGGGGTCGAACGCGCGGAGGACCAGGGGCGCGGCCCCCGACGGGCGCGCTGCCTACCTGCTGGGCTCGGGCTGCGGGCGGGCCGTGCGGCGTCCGGCGCGCGGAGGGCAGCGGCCGACTGCTCCCAGCCCAGGCATCCCCGCATTTATTTGAGCTCAAACCCGGCGACTGTTGACTTTAGCACACAAAGCAAAGATTTCACTGCCCGCTAGTTTAAAAATGAATATTTTACCAAGATATCGATCAGCGTTATAAAATTCAGTTAAGTACAATGGGATCCTGGAGAGAGAGAGAAAAAAAAGAATAATATAGGCCGGGGTGGGGGTGGGGGGAGAGGCAATATAATATCTGTGCAAATTTGCTGAAGTCTGACGTGGCACGGAAAGTTTACCCTCCTGGAATTTGGATCTAGAGTGTTTTTTGCGGTTGTTTACTGACTTTGTTTATTCACAGATCATGGTTGTTTAAATCTGGCGTTAGGTCGGTGCAGTGGGGGGGGGGGGGGGGGGCGGGGAGAGGGAGGAAAGAAAGAAGAGGTGGGGGGGGGTAGGAATAAAGAATCGCTGCACCCTGCACTATTTAGAGTTGAGGGGAGGCAGGCGGAGGGCGAGCTGGGAGGTAGCAAGCTGGGAACCTGGACGGGGGAAGGAGGCGGTGGCCGGAGAGGGTGGGGTGTGAAAGGAACGAGAGAAGCGCTGAGACTCCGAAAGCGCCCACTCCCGATCTGCTTTTTAAGTATGGGGACCGAACTCTATCTCATCAGCCGGGATCAGTAGGGGAGGGGGCGTGGGGGGCGCTCTAAGTAGTTTAAAACGACCCTCGCACAATGGGCGTGCGATAGGAAACATAGCAGGTTAGGGCAGCGCTTTCAGCCTCCATTGTCCCCCACTCGGCCTCCCGCCCGGCCCCTCCGCTCCTTCGCCACAGGAGCCTTTTATGTGATAATGAAACACATTTCAGGCCCGGCCCGCGACGTGTGTGTCCTGGCCAGGGGGAGAGACGGCCCTGATAACTGGATTCTGCCTCCGGATACCACGGCTACCCCGCCCCGATGTCTCTTCTCTTCCCTGTGCTCCTGGGGACAATGAGGCACTTTTAAAACCGGGATTCTGAGGAGGGAGAGGGTGGAGGAGGCCAGGGCGAACTCCCTCAGCGGTGGGAAGGCCGGCACTGGAGGTGACAGAGACCTCTCAAGGTGGCAGAGAGTGCAAGGAGAGGCAGTTCTCCAAGGTTGGGCCGAAGCTGGGACGCTCCACTTTTAGATGGTCAGGAAGCCCTATGATTATAGTCCGAGAAGTGGGATCCTGGGCTTCAGAAAAAGTCCTGGTCTTGGAAACCTGTGTTTCTTACCCACAAGCTGGCTAAGCGGTGCTCCGGCTGGCCCCCAGTCTGTGGGGCCCTCAGAGACACTGGTTCCTGACCTCCCCCGGCCAGCTTGCAGGCCTGTAGGTGCCCTGGGCAAAGCCAAGTCGGGGAGGGCGGAGGTGGTAGGGGGAGGTGGGGGTGCCTTTGTGCTTCACCTCCAGGGTACCCACTGTGATTGGCCATTGACTTAGGGTGTCTGTGGGGAGAGATTGTAAGAATTTATTCTGGGTATTTCTTTGTAAGTTTGGATTTTCCTTTTAGGCTCACAAACAAAACAAAACAAAACAAAAAAAACCAAAACCCTCATCCTCTGTGTCCGGCAACTTAGCTTGCCAAATCCCGCTAACTGAATGCTGTGTTAGGGTGTTGAGAGGAGGATGTGCAGGCTGGGGTCTCTCCACCGGCCACTGTCACTTGGCAAGCCCGGCCAGACTGCTCCTTATCTCCGCCTCACTCTAAATGCACCTAATTTTATTTTCTTAAGTCCCTCACCCAGGTTATGTTTTACTGATTTTAGTGAGAGGAGGAGGAGGGAAACATCAATGTGAAAGAGAAACATCCATCAGTTGCTTCCTATTCACACCCAGACTGGTGATTGGCCCCACAACCTAGGTATGTGCCCTGACTGGGAGTGGAACCTGCAACCTCTCAGAGGTACTGGATACTCCACCAACTGAGCCACCCAGCCAGGGCCCAATACAAAAGGAGGCTTGGAGCATCACACTGAGCATTCCCTGTATAACCAATCCCAAGAGAAAGGCATCTGATTCCCCAGACCCCTCACTGGTCCCGAGCTTCAGCTAGGTCTACCAGTGCTGTGCACAACACCTAATGAAGGAGGAGGCTGGGATAGGGAGGTGGGGTGTAGGCAGAGCTCCGATTTCACAGGAAGGTAACGGATGCCACAGAGATGCAGCCATGAAAAGGGCAACTCCTGCACCAGGAATCTGCAAATTCCACATGGGCTCACTTCCTTAAAGGGTCTAGGGAGCTAATATAGGAAATGCAGCAAAACATGTAAAATCCAGGCTTCTTTCCAGAGAAGCCTGCACTAGAGCCCAAGAGATGTCAGCAACATTGAACCTTCACATGGCTCAGGTGGAAAATCAAGATACATGGATTGCTCCGGGCTTGAAAGATAAACCTGCATCAAACCCATGGAATGGTCGACCTGGGGCCTGCGTTTCATTGTGTGTAAAGATAAACTGAAAACTCCAAAAGTAACCATAAACAATATTGTGTTCTATTTAATGGTGTGCTTGTTTAAGTGCTTAGAGGAAATGCACTAATGTCTGAAATGTACTTTGAAATGCCCTTAGACTACAAGCCAAACTGGCCAATGGCATCTAGATAGGTGGGCGATAAGCAATATAACAAGAACAGTGAAATAACTGTAAAATCTGGGCAATGGGTACACGTGTACTTTCGGTAAAATCCATTCAAATTCAGTATGTCTGAAAATTGTAATAAACTGTTGGTAAAGCAACAACCCCTCCTCCAATAAAATAAAATCTGCCACCAGCCAGGAACTCCCTCCCTCCACTTTTAAATAATTCCCGAACTTGAATATTTTTTGAGCCAGGCAGACAAAAATAATCTTGATGATTCAAGGAATAAAACTGGCAATAACACTTTAATATAGATTTGGGGAACTCTGATAATCCTTGCAGCCAGAACACATATTTATAGGCCATAAATAAAGCACTCAGAAAGCATAAATTAATCAGACCCAAGACCTGGATTTCACTGTTTCGAGAACAGGAATGCATTTTTCTCCCTTGGTCATGAACAACAGACCCTTACATCATTTTTTTAATCTCTTTTTAAACAATAGCACAACTCTCTGGTTCTTTGTTAAAACTACATTATTTTACACTGAGTCACAAAAGTTCGTTGGATTTTTTTTGTTTTGTTTTTTATGGAGGTTTTTTTTGTGTGTGGGTTTGTTTGTTTGTTTGTTTGTTTTTAAATAAAGTAAGACTTCCCTGCAACAACAGCAATGGAGGAGAGTGAGAACAAAAATCAGAATTCTAGGGTGCTTCAGGAAGCAGGCATATACACAGTAGTGGAAACCGGGGCCTTTTTTTCGTTTTGTCTTTTTCGACTTTTATCTTTTTGGCCCCTCTCCCTCCTTCTATAGAATGGATGATACACATCAGGGTGGCCCATCTGAGAGGAAAGAGCTGCAGAGGGCTAGGGGAGACTGCTGTCCCTGGGGGTGGGAGTGTCTTGGGTGTCTTCTCCCTTGCATCTCTCCAACACCCATACCTCAAAAGTCTCCCCCCACGCCCCCCACTTTCTCTCTCTTGTCTGGGCCAGCCTGGACCACCGCAGCCCTCTTAAGAGGAGTTCATAATGGGCCGGGAGTACACCCCCTGGTAGTAGGAGGTGTCCGCGGCCAGGGGCGAGGCTTCCAGGCCCGCTTTGTTCGTGATGGGGCCCATGGCCAGGCTCCCCGGCATCGGGGACCCGTAGCCCGGGTAGTGCATCACCTGTTCATAGGCCTTGAGGTCCATTTTGTGGGGCTGGTGGTGGTGATGGTGGCTGTGGTGGTGCTGCTGCTCGGAGGACATGAGGTTGTTGATGGAGAAGGGGTGGTTGAAGGCGTAGTGGTGCTCGGGCTTCAGGTGCGCCTCGGGGGGCAGGCCAGGGTGGTGGGGCGGGCCCAGCAGGTGCGCGGCGGCGGCGGCCTGCTGCTGCTGCTGCTGCTGCCCCGGCGACGGCTCCTGCTCCGGGGGGCTCAGCGCCGCGGCTTGCGTCCCCTTCAGCTCGCCCAGGCCCCCTCGCTTGTGCTCCTGGCACGGAGAGGAGCTCGAGTGGGGCGAGTCGGTGCCCCCCGGAGTCTCGGAGGCCGGCCCGGAGGCCTCCCCGAGCTGCCCCTGCGAGGCCTGCGCCCCTGAGGCTACCTTCTTGCCCCCGCCCGCGGCGGCGGCGCCCCCGGCCTCCTTCAGGGCCAGCTGCTTCTCGCACTTGAAGCGCTTCTGGCGGCGCAGGTAGCAGCCGTTCTCGAACATGTTGCCCGAGTCGGGGTGCAGGGTCCAGAAGGAGCCCTTGCCCGGCTTGTCGGGCGAGCGGGGCACCTTGAGGAAGCAGTCATTGAAGGAGAGCGAGTGGCGGATGGAGTTCTGCCAGCGCTGCTGGTTCTGCCGGTAGAAGGGGAAGAGGTCCATGATCCACTGGTAGATCTCGCTCAGCGTGAGCATCTTGTTGGGGCTCTGCTGGATGGCCATGGTGATGAGCGAGATGTAGGAGTAGGGCGGCTTGGCGTGCGTGTAGCTGCGCCGGTAGGTCTTGGGGTCCCGCGCGGCGCGGCCCAGGCCCGCCTGCCCGTACATGGGGCTCATGGAGTTCATGTTGGCGTAGGGGCCCAGGCCGCCCATGGCGCCCGCCGCCTGCCCCCCGAGTGGGCTCAGGCTGGGGCTTAGGTGCGCGCCCATGCCCGCCACGCCCGCCGCCCCGGCCGCCGAGCCGCCCATGCCGGCCATGGCGCCAGCCCCAGGGGACATGCCGGCCAGGGACGGGCTCATGCCCGCGGCTCCCACGTACGACGACATGTTCATGGAGCCGGCGCTCATGTTGCCCGAGCCGCTGCCCATGGCGGCCGCCGACATGCTCATGTAGGTGTTCATGCCGTTCATGCCCAGGCCGGCGTTCATGTTGCTCACCGAGGAGTAGCCCTGCGAGGGGGACAGACAGACCGGGCAGGGGCACACGCGTTAGCACCCTGACCTCCCAGCCACCCACCGGGTGAGCTCGGACCCTCTGGGGACCCCATCCCTGGTACCCCACTTTGTCCCCCTCCAGCACCAGGCACCTGGTTC